CCGTAAACCCAGAGACTCCAAAACCCCTTAATTAAGGAATATTCCTTAAATCATATTAGGGGTCCTATTAGAATTTCAGGGATATTCCTTAATTAAGGAATATTCCTTAAATCGTATTAGGGGTCCTACTAGAATTTCAGGGATATTCCTTAAGTAAGGGATTTTGGAGTCTCTGGGAACCCGATTGTCGTTTCAGCAGAGCTTATAGGTTTCAGGCTTAGTCTGACATAACAGGGTTCATAGGTCATAGGTTATCCAACAGGTCACGGTTAAGGTTTAGGGTTTAGGGTTTAGGGTTTAGGGTTTAGGGTGAATTCCTAACCCCTAAACTTTAGTAAACCTTAAACTCCGAACCACAGACCCTTAGCCCCTAAATGCCTCAACCCTAAACTAGACACCTAAATCCTAAACCCCTAGTCCCTTAAAAGCCCTACAGTACTGGCAAGCCCTAAACCAGTCTGCATCATTGCGATGAGGCGACGGGCTTCGACCATGCCTTGTGGGATAGTGCAATCGATCAGCTGGGCTTGCACCAGGAGCAGACGAAGGTGGCCTTTTCGTTCAGGGTTTAGGATGTTAGGGACTTGGGATTTAGGGTTAGGGGCGTAGAGCTTTTGGTGATTGGGGTTTTAAGCTTTTGTGTTTGGGTTTCGGGTGGGTTTAGGCGGTTTAGGGTTTAGGGCTTAGGGCTTCGTGCCTGATTCAAGTGTCCACAGTCTCACGCCAATTACCTCCTTTGCAGGCCTTGGGGCTTTTCGCTCGAGTGCGTGTCGTCCGTTCGGGCCCTGGCGGTTGCAAGGCAAGCAAGAAGGCTGTAGTCGGTATCCGCTGCTAGGCTGCACGTACTGCTACTCACAACTACGACGACGACGACGACCAGTGCTGCTTCACTACTTGTGCACAAACTACTGCTACTGCTACTGCTGTTGCTGCTGCGCGCGCTACTGTTGGTGGCGGTGCTGCTGCTAATGCTACCGCTTCTGCTACAGCTACTGCTGCTGCTACATTGCTGCAACACCGTTCACACCCCAAAACCTCCCTAAATCCTAAACCCTAAACCCCGAATCCTTTTACAACAACCACCCAAGCTAGACCGCATTGGGCAGATGCTGTGAAAACCATGGCTAACTCTACAGGCTCTGTATGCGTTCGCCGGAAGCATTCCCAATTGTTTCTAATTAGCATGAGTCTGCTGTTTTTGCCTGTACCAACAACAGCAGCAGCCACCATAACCACAACCACAATCACAGCAGCAACAACAACAGCAGCTGCTGCTGCTGCTGCTGCTACTGCTCCTACTACTACTACTACTACTACTACTACTACTACTACTGCTACTGCTACTGCTACTGCTACTACTACTGCTACTACTACTGTCACTGTCACTGTTGCTGTTACCTGTTACTCGTACTGGTAGGGTTTCTTACGAATGCTTGCGCGAGTGTACACATCTACGAACTGATAATGCATGATTGGACGAGAAGAGTTGATGTAGGCACGATTGCCGACTTCGTAGTCTCTGTCGCACTCACCAAATCACCTACATCCGCCATTCCCAGGTCAGCAAATTTTGACGAACTTGGCAGTCCTCACAGACCCATGCCTAGTGGTAGAGTAGGCAACCGTTAACCTTTTGGGGGTAGTTGTTTTGATCCCTTTATATGACCCCAAAAGGTTAACCCTTGGTTCCCCTAGCATACTGGACAAGTAA